TTTTTTTTTTTTAATTAAAAAGGCATTTCTGTTATGTTGTTACGGTCGCTGACTTCTAGTCATTAAGATAAGATGGGGCCTGATTATTTAAGACCTTGTATGTGAGGAGCAGGATTTTGAATTCAATTCTGTATTTACCAGGGAGTCAATGAAGGAAAACCAATACAGGAGAAATATGCTCTCTCTTTCTAGTCCCTGTCAGGACTCTTGCATCAGCATTTTGGATTAACTGAAGGCTTTTCAGGGAGTTTTTAGGACATCCTAATAATAATGAATTGCAGTAGCCCAGCCCAAAAGTAATAAATGCATGAACTAGTTTTTCAGCGGCACTCTGAGACAGGGTGTTTCTAATTTTAGAGATGCTGCGCAAATGGAAGAAAGCAGTCTTACATATTTATTTAATATGTGCATTGAAGGACATGTCTTGGTCAAAAATCACTCCAAGGTTCCTCACAGTGTTACTGGAGGCCGAGGCAATGCCATCCAGCGTAGGAATCTGGTTAAATACCATATTTCTCCTGTGAGCACTAAGTGACCAGCACAGCTATATCCAGTAAACTACATATTATTGTTCAGATTTTGGTGTTCCTGACATTAAAACTCACTTGCGTACAAACACAGAGTGCACATTACAAGAAAAGGTCTAAAATGTGACTTTATCTGAACGTAAAAAAAACAAAACAAGTTACAGAAATATCTATATTATGACTGGAGACTGGAGTTGAAGAGACGAGCGTCAAATGTTGGAGTGCTTCTTGGTTCTATGAAAAATGGTATGTAATGTTATTGTTGGTAGAAACTAATGCACCTTTTTATGTGTACATTTATAAATACCAGGAACTTATTGCTTTAGGTTTGAATGTCACCTGCTGCTTTGGGCTTGCATGGTCTCACATAACCAACTCCCATGAGCTCCACCTCATCTGCAAGTTTTGGAAATATGCCACTCTTGCTTACCAAACAGGATAACTGGTAAAGTCCCTTTGTGCATATTTAAGGCAGGTATTTATTTGCCTTTGTTTTTCTTAGCAGTAGATGTGTTCAGTTTTATTTTTGTTTCCTGTTCGTGAGGCTTTCGTGTGAAATTCAAAAAAAAAAGATTGGTAGTCACTTGTCTGACTGCATTCCTGGGCATTTGGGTTCATTGTAGGTTCTTCCTTCTACTTCTCCATGCTATGAAACTCTGTCATCGTTACTGTAATCCAATTATTTTCTCGCTAGTGAGCTAATCAGCATCTGTGTGATTCAAATCTCAGTTTTCTCCTCTCGTCATTTCTAGGGATGGGTATTGTTTAGGTTTTATCCGATACCAGTACCAAACCGATACTTTTGAAACGGTGCCGGTGCTCAAACCGGTGCTTAAAGAATGGAGAACACAAAATTTGTCCTAAAACCTCTCATGTTCAGCTGTTTTTTTTGTAAAAAGATAACAATGTTAGCCTTTTCTGTAGCTATAGGGGATTTATGGCATCACTCTTGGTTGGAAGCAGTGCCTAAACAATGGAGGAAAAAACCTCTCATGTTTAGCTGTTTTACACTTTTTCTTTGGTCATTTTAGCCTTTTTTGCCAGGGTGAAGGGAGTATCTGCCATCAAACAAGAAGACAGCCGCATGTAACTACGACGGTGTTTGCTAGTTCACTTTACATGCATTAATTTAATAACATGGTTAGCCCACTCAACGTAAATTACACACGAACAACATTAAGCTACTCAAGCAGAGAAGAACGGCTGGTGCTGCCATCATCATCTGTCATCATTTCTGCACTGCAGGGCATTTCTGCATTTCTACACTGGCAGGGCTAGGGGCCAGGACTATACCCTTCGAGTTCTTGGGGGATGTTGCTTACTCCAGGTCCAATAACAGGCACCACACCCACACTCGGTGCTCTGTCTTGCAGCAAGCTATCAAATACCATGCATTTCTTGGCTTTAAAACGCTATGCCTCGCCAGGTGTTTCATCAGATTCGAGGTGTTACCTCCTTTGCACAGTATCACCTTAAAGCACTTGTTGCAGGCTGCTGAGTTTGCATCTTTTGCTGTGAAGTACAGGCAGACTTTTGACCGCTTCGCCTTGGGCATTTTTAATCTGTAGCTCTGCTCTAAAATAACATATGTACCTGGGCCCACCCACTATCCTCAGAAACGTAAAATGACTGGCTAGAATCCAAAGTGTTTGACATCTCAGGAAAAAGAAGCACCGAAATAAAGCACCAAAATGTGCGCTGCTTTTCTGTCTGGTTACTACCGTTTATGTCAGGTACCGGTATCCCGGTCCCTATCCCTAAGAACAAGTCTGACTTATTACCAGCTATAGGAACCAAGCTCTTGCAACAGTTGTATAGGGATCGAATGGCCCGTAGCAATGGGCCAGACACCCCATACTCCTGTAGCACCTCCCACAGGACACCCCGAGGGACACGGTCGAATACCTTCTCCAAGTCAACAAAACACATGTAGAGTGGTTAGGCAGCTCATTGCAGCAGCTTCGGCAATGGAGATGCTGAACATGGTCCATTCGGACTCAATGTCCTCAGTCTCCCTCAGAATGTTGTTGAAGCTGTGCCGGAGGTATGTGTTGAAGATCTCGTGGACTGGGCCTCTGCTAGGCATTA